TACCAGAGGAAAGGCAGGTCTTGATGAGAACAATAAAAAGAAGGAAGGAAATGGTTGTTTGGCTGAGTAGGAGAATCCAGCATGGCTGTGGATGAAAGGAGAAGCTAAGCCAGGCTCTGTGCCATTAGCAGAGCTATCAGCCTGGGATCTGGAGGCCTCCAGGAGAGGTAGAATCAAGTCTCAGAGCCAGAAAGGAAGGCCAGGCAGGAAAACCTCACAACTAAAGGCACAGCAACATTAAAACAAAGAGATATTGATCAGGGATTTCTTAGACAGGGAACAGAGGATGGGGAACCCCCTGAAAATTACAGCTTGTAAACAATATTGAATATTTACATGCATTTATGCATGTGAGCTCTCATTTTGAATCACCTGCACTTGGATTAATTAGGCTTATAGTTCATTAAATAGCAACGTGGTATATCCAAACCTGGATTTTCAACAGCTTTTAAAATCTAAAAAATTAATTAAATGCAAAGAATTAAAAAAAGGAAAATATCAAATGGTGCTCAGCTACCAGATGACAATTGGCTGTACTAGCTTTCAAAAATCTATATAAAAGTTCAAAATAGAGAAAAACTGCTTCACAAAAGGGCTTCACCTTCTTCCAGGACAGTGTGAGAAGGGATAATCATGCTGTTCTCCCAGGAAAGAGCAAATTCAGACGATTCATCTACTCCTATAATTCCCAGAATGACACAGAGCATCAATGCCAAGCCTGACAATATGTTGCTGAATGAGTGGTACCAGAGAGAAAGTGACTGTGATAGAAGACAGCATGGCTGGGATAAACAAACAGATGCTGTCAGCCAAATGCTGAACACTGCAAATATACCACAGCAGATGCCCTGATTAAATAAAATGTGAAGTCACAACATTTGTCTGAGTGGTTGGAAAAAAATCAACATGCTCTCATGGTCACAGATCATTGATTTTCCATGAGAATTAAAAATAACTAAAGCTCATTTAAAAAGTAATTTTTCAAAAGTAGGGATTTTCTATGTCTTGCTTCCAAGTGGAAATTATTACCAGCCTTTTCTCCAAGATAGCTTGCATGTCATTGAGAGTAGAACGGTCTCTGAATCTTGTGTTATCAAGGAAAATAATTCTAAACTCCTGGTAACCATCTTTTCCACCACCCTCCTCTGCCTTCATAGATGCTGCTTCAAGGGCACTTCTCACCTGCTCGCTCAGCTCAGCTCTCAACTCACCCTTCCACACAGGACAGGCCGTGAAAATGCACAGCCTGCCTTTGTCAGTAAAGGCAGTAAAGTCAGTAAAGAAATCTCCAAATACCCTCGGGCAGGGTTAATACCTGTTGAGAAGCATTAGTACCAACACCTTTCTGCCAGAGCTGTCCAGCTCCCGCAGCATCCCCAGGCAGCCACACAGCAGTGTGAGACCCATGGCAGCTCAGACACTGCAGCTCTGAAGTGATCTGGAGGTTAAACAGAGCTGTGCTGGGTGTGCCTACCCCTGGCTTATGCTTTAGAAAATGAAGGAATTCCAAGCAGAATGTTTACAATAAATACCATACAACCTCAAGTTCTCTCCGTGATGTTCAGTGATTTAGGCACAAAAAAGACAAGCAAACCAAAGAAATGTATAGAAGTCCTTGAGCAAACAACAGGGAAGATAGTTAGCCAGAACAGTATGATTATGGTTCAGCTCAGATTTCTCTGAGATCTGGCCCAGGACTGTGCAGCATCCAGACCATTATGGTCTGGAGAAAAAAAGAAGTACTGATCAGAGATTTTCAGCTGGGAGTGGCAGATTGTCAGGGAGAGAAGGAGGCAGAAAAGCCCTGATGCCTGCAGGATAACTTCCTTTCTTAAACAGCCATGGGGCCTTGCTGGTTTAAGGTACATTGGCTCACAAAGAAAAGACAAATGAGCAAGGTAAAATAGGATAGAAATATATGATCCTTGGGTGTTTCACCCATTTGTTCTCCGTGCCATGCTTTTTGATAAAAGAAATGTTTTTCAAATGGAGGTTACACATGTTGCTGGAAGCATTTGTGACAGAGTGGCTTTGAAGGAAAAGGTTTGTTGTCAGGCTAATACAACCAGAAAGACTAGCAAGACTACAAAGATGCCATCTAGGAGTAGTTTTGCTGAGAGCTTGGTCTTGAACACCAGACCTGTTCATTGAGGGAGACAGATCATAGTGGCAGAAGCAGTTCAGGACACATCTTCCTTGAAGCAAGCTGCTCATTGCTGCCATGGGATAAGATCAGGCCTGCCAGAACAGCAGTCAGGCCTTATTAAACCTCTGCCCCTGCTACTCAAGAGGCTTAACAATTTTAGATGCTAGTTGAAGGAAAAAAGAAACAGGAGTTCCTGTTCCCAGCAGAGGAAACTAGACAAGGTAGAAGACCAAACCAACTAATATAAGCTGAATACTTAAAACGTATCTTCCTCAAAGCCTCTATTTTTCCATTTGTGCACAGCAGCATAAAGATCTCTACAAACCAGAGAAGACCTTCTTTATTTCTGCTTTCTCCTGTAACCACTGTATCATGCATTTCTCTACAGTTACTTTACTTATGCACAGGCACAGTCTGCTTTTGGGAAGGGTAACTGAACCTGGACAAAGATATGCAATTTGACACTGATACCTGCAGCCCCACAGGTTTTCTCCTGCTTAATAAATATGAATATGAATATGAGAGTGTCGATAAGGATTGAAGCGCTGGTTTGAGTTTTTCTCTGGAAAGAAAAAAGAAGAAGTTAAACTGAAGCACATGCTTTTAAACAAGAGAATTTTGAAAAGAACTCCAAGAAAAAAATCTCCTATTTTTTTGCTGCTGCAAATTCCACCACTAAGTTTCTAGCAATGTTTCTGGTCAGGAGCAACTGAGTGACCTTGGGAAAACCTTGCTGGAGTTTCTAACATTCTATTTTTCATATTGGTTCTTCTGCAGTAGCCAGAGTGATTGTTATATGGAAAGGAGAATCATTGAAAAACCTGTGACTGGCATTCCAGGGGCTTAGAGCAACAAGCCCTGCAACTCCCCAGGCAGATGGTGATTAAAAAAAAAAAAAGAAAGTAAGCTGGGCTGATGCTAGAAGTGTGTTTCCATGGGAACAGGGAGGTACGGATGCTGCCTCGTACTTGACCGAATGAGAAGCTGGTTCAGGATTAGGATTAGAAAAGAAGTGGCCAGATTCCTAGTGCCAGTCAGAGTGTCTTTTACACTCCTAAATACATAACAGGGCTCTTTAAAGACTGCACTAGCTCTATATCCATGTGGTGCTGTGAGGATTTAGTAAATTTAAAAAGTTGTGTGGGCTTGACTGTAAGAGTATAAAAAGAAATGTGTATCAGAGCACATTTTCTTTAATGATCCGTGAAAATTGACTGCATAAATGGGAAATTAATGTCCACCCCTCACTTCTAGACAAGGGCTTATCCCAGCCCAATCCGGCTCTTCTAGTTCTCCAAGAGGTGATGCTGAGATCACCAGACAGGAAAATCATGCATTTGATATTGCACAGTAATAAAAAAAAGAGGTAGGATAATTATTTTAAATTGTTAGTCTTTCACTGCCCCAGGAGAATGAATCTAATTGTTGTCTGATAAACATCAATGTTATTTAAATATTACAAGAATAGATTGTTAGCATAAGTATTTCAAAATACACTTCTTATTTATCTTTAAATATTTGAGATTAGATTTCCTATTCATTTAGTTTTTGTCTTGTTGCAGTTCTCAGAAAAATCTCTATAAACTTTATATCCTGTTTTTAGGCCCTTTGTTACTCCAGCATATTTGAGGCAATAAACAAAGACCAAAAAAAGGTAGCAAACAATAAAGACAAATTCCTAGAACGGAAACAGAGTTAAATATATGTACTTTTGTGGTATATTTATATTTGAAGAGTTGGTAATTTTTGTTGACTATCAAAATAAACAAGATTTAAAATCCCAGCTACTGAACTGGGGGGAAATAAGCCCAAACTAAGGGCATACTGAAAAGTAGATCCTACAATTTACTTCTTGTCAAACTTGTTGACACCTATCACAAGCTGAAAAAGTGGCCAGCTATGACCCCTGACAAAAAAACCCTTACTAGTAGGGGTTAAAGTTCACACACCTGCATTTCCAGCACACAGATACTTTTCTGTGCTTTCATATAAGCAAATGACTTTGGCTTGTGGTTTGAACACTTGTGAGGGGAGACATTTAAGATTTGTCTTTTAAAAGGCCTGGTGAAAAAAAGGATTTCCTTCTGTTTCTAGAAACTTCTACGCTTAACCTTAGGCTAAAAAGCATCTGCTTGATCTAGGACTACTCACACCATGTAAGTGGTGCATGGTCCATGCAAGACATGCAAGCCTCTGCAGGACAGAGCTGGATTTCTTCCCCGGCATAAAGACAAAAACGAGAAGTGTTCACCCGTGGTATGTATTTTCAAGCACACCTTGATGCCTGCTCTGCTTCTCCAGGAAGACTGAGGCAGCCCAGCCCTGCGCTGGCCCCGGTGCGTTTGGCACCGTGCGGCCCCGAGCAGCCGCGGCGCTGTCCCGCGGTGCGGGCCCGGCCCGCGGCAGGTGAGGGCCGGGCCGGGAGCAGCGCTCCTCGGCACGGAGACCCTCGGCTGCTCCGCGGAGCAGCGTCGGTTAATGAGTGTTTAAGGCAGCAGCCGCAAACAGCAATTCACCGTGTGCGGCTCGGTGCCCTCGAGCTGAGGGTGCGGGACAGGCTGCCCCCAAAGCAGGGGAGCCTTGACATCGAGTCCCCCCCTCCCCGGCACCAGCGGGGTGAGGGGAGCGGCTCTTTCCCAAGCAGGGAGTGCCTTGCCATCACCATCACCGTCCCCGTCCCCATGGCGGGGTGCCCGGGTCCCCCGCCCACCCTCCCCCCGGTCTCAGCGCCGCCCGCGATGCGATGCTCGCGGCGGGAGGCGGCGGCGCGGGCATTTGCATGGGCTGAAGGCAAAGCGGCTTCGCCCGTCTGTTTTATTTTTAGCTGGCAGCTCAGGACAGCGCAGCGCAGCTCCGCGCCGCCGGCGGGGCGGGCGGGGCGGCAGCCGAGGGAGGACCGCGGCAGGGCGGGCGGGCGGACGGGGCACCGGCGGAGCGAGGTTACCGCAGGCGAGCCGCAGCCAGCCGGGCTGCGGAGCGCCGCCGCCCCCGGCTCCCGCCCCGGCGGCTGCGAGCAGGGAGAGGCAGGGGCAGGCAGGCAGCGGCCTCCGGCGTCCCCCCGCTGCGGCCGCGGCTCTGCCCGGGCTGGCGGCTCCGTGCCTGGCTTCTCCGCCGCCGCAGCCGCGGCGCGCCGGGGCCCTGCAGATGGCCAGTCCTGGGCTGGAGCTGGGAGAGGTTCAGCCTCCTGCCGAGCCCCCCCAGCCTGAGTTGGCCTTCACCGAGGCGCAGAAATGGATCGAGGTAAGCCCGCGGGATGGCAGGGGTGCGGGCGCCTGACCCCACGGGGGACACCCCGCGGGACAGCCCGGTGTCCTTCCCTCCCCCCCCGGTCGCTGTCCCCCCGGGGACTGTGGGCGTTTTATTTCACGCCGATCTCTATCCCGGCCTTCCCGCCGCTCTGCCCAGCTTTCCTCACTGCGGGGAAAGCAGCCGGGGCCGACCGAGCCGCCGCTCAGCCCCCGCGCAGGGTGCGCGCCTTTGGATGGCCCCCGCCCCCCTTCGGTTCTTCCAAACTTAATCTGTTAATCGCATTTCCCCTCCCCGCCCCCGGCGCTGGGATGAACGGGACGGCTGTAAACAGAGCCGGGCAGGTGCGCGGAGCTGCGGAGCGGACGCGGACGCTCCCCCGTGCCCCGGGGCCGCCAGGATCCCCTCCCGCCGGGAAGCGTCCGGCCCCGCGCCCGCCGGCCCCCGCGCCTCGGGCGGCAGCGGAGGCCGCGCAGGTCGCGCTCCGCAGTGCGCGCAGGGCCGGCCGCCACCGCTGCGAGGCCGGGGACAGCCCTGCTGCCCCTGTTCCCGTCTCTCGGCCGACCCAGGAGAGAGATTTAGTCTGGCTGTTCAAGCAGGGCAGAAAAAAAATAGATGTGCTTGCTGTTTGCTCGCGCCGTAAAACGGGAAGATGGGCAGGTGGTGGGTCAAATTTAATAGTTAAATATTTTGGCATGTGCCAATAGAGACGCTGAAAATAGCTCTCCATCTGATTTCCGGTACAGAACATGAGTGAAGGTGGCATAAACCCAGATACCAGGGTAGCTGCTCCCTTCAGCTGTGGGCTTTGAATTTAATCTGCAGCTTTTAGAAAGCCTCAGTGGATTCTCTTTCCTGAAAGTGACTAGGCAAAAGGTTGTAAAAATCGTTGTGTCATTAAGATTCTGTGAAGCCCTGTGAATTTCAGATTATGTTGTTTTAGTCCAGTATCAATTGGAAGAGTAATGCTGTGTCAGTCTTCAGGGAATTGGCCCTGACATGATGTGAATCTGGCTGGTGTAGGACCAGAGGCAGAGGAACCATGATGAATGTGAAAAGAAGGGCTTTTGTGCCAAGGAGAGGTGAGCATGCAGCTTGGAAAAGTGAAGTGCATATAAACACCATTTGCCTTGGGAAGATGAATACAGCAGTTTCTCTATAGCCTTCTTTACGACAGAGCACCAAGGGGGAGAGGCACGTGACTCCATCATACATATGGTATAAAAATACCTTGTGACCATGAGTCCTGCTGACTGCTAATGGAGCCAAGAACTCAATGGTGGAGCAGTTCTCTGTAGATAACAAAGCTGTCATCGCCACTCCAGGCACGATAATAATGAAGGGACTATAAATCTTCCTGTATTAGAACAGAACCTTGTGGGTCAGGCAGAAACTTCTCTCTTGGGCAGTTTATTCCACAGTTCACTGTGGCAGGAGGTCTCATGTCTGTTTCTTGTGCTGCACAGGCCCTGGTGAGCAGAGCAGGAGAACTCTTAAGTTCCTTGTCCTCCATGAAGTCCAAGAGTTCAATGTGTACAGGGGAAGCTGTCAATAACTTCTTGTGCTTCCTCCAAATTTTAAAGCATCATCTGCTTGATGCCTGAATGACAGAACTGTAATGTACTGTTAATTTTGCAACCCTCTCCTTGCCTGAGGGGAATGTGTCAGGAGCCTGGAGCATTGCCACAGCTGTGGTGTGAGGGGGAAGCATCTGCCTTTCCAGCAGTGCCCAGAGCTGATGCTCCTACTAAGAGAAAGAGGGAAGAAGCTGCCACTGAAGCAAATGTGGTTTAATTTGCCTAACACATCGTATTTCCTTTTAATCCCAGTTTGGCTTAAGCTCTGGAGCATGAGGGTTATTACCTCTTCCAAAAATCTGGTCAGCATTCACCCTTCTAAATCTGGATGATTTGAACTGATTGAATTATGCAGAACTTGATATGCTAGTGCAAAGTTATTGAAAAGCAATGTCAGTCTTAAAAATAAATAAAATTTTAAAAATAGGAAACTATAAGGTATCAACATTCAGTGTGCCAAACCTTATCAATTTGTGTGAAAAGCAGAAATGGGGGTCATGCTGTGTCTGGCTACTAAGTCCATCTGCTTCAGCTGGCTCTGTACTTGTCTCTCACCAGTTTGTTCCCTGGCCTAGAGATGTTAGGAAATGTCCAGTGTGTTGTGTCTTCCAACTCCCCTTTGACCATTTCAAATTACATCTCTCTCAAATAAAAAAAAAGAAATTGTTATCATTGCAAGGAGAGCTATTGAACCTGCTCCTGTATGGAGCAGACAAGCTAGTGAGAATGTTAGCAGTGTAAAACAGCTTAAAATCTGTCTTAGGCTGTAATATAGTGCCATGCAAGGAAATTAAAGTAGAAATGGACAGATTGAAAACTCTCTCAGCTTACTGCGCATTTTTATTTCTAACGATTAAGTTGTGTGGCTTGCTAGTTTGATTCTCATCTGCTTTAAATCCCCGTGTGAGTGCTGTCACTATTGTTGTCGGGCTGCAGAAATCCACCCTGTGGTCTGCAGCACATTTTTCCTGTGGTGAGACTGGAAAGAGAGGCTTCTCCTCTTCTTGCAGATGGGCAGCCAAGACATTAAGTTATGAGTGTTTAGCTCTGCAAGGATTAAGGAATTTGTGTTCCACTGCTCCAGAGGTCTTAGGGGTTTTGTTTTTACTCCTTGTGTCTGTCACCTTTCACTAGAGTTGGCCTTCTGGGTGCCTGAAGCCTTCCTTTTTCTCTGCCAGCATTACTTTAATCTGGATGCTGCAGTGTAGGGTGGTCTGAATTGCACTGAAGTTTTGGTGGATACCTTTGGGTAGGAAACCAGAGTTCAGGCTTGCTTAATTTTGCATAAATATCAACTGTGCATCCCCCTTGTAACAGCAAACTAGCCTATTATTTTAGTTTAGCTTGGCATGTACTACTTAAATGAAGAATGCCCTCTTAATGATAAAATGCACCTTATTAGTAGCACTCAGAGGAATTAAAATAAAGGCATTGAATGAGAAATCCTGTGAGAGAGCTACATCAGTCTGCATTATTAACGGTGTGGTATCTCATTTCAATTAATGCATCTCAGTTTCACTGAAAGAATATATCAACCTTGTAAAGCCTACTGGCATACTATAGCAAAATAACAAATCTAATTTAATCTAATGGCCTGTAATCTTAAAATATCAAGGTTCTCTGTGTGTGTTTAATCTGGAATAGCTGGTGGTTGAAAGAACATCTGTATAAACAGAGTTATTCTTGCTGTAAAGACTCATAGGAGAATAATACGGTAATAAAGTCACATTTAATACTGGTGTAACTCCTAAGGGTATTGTTATCTCCTCATCGTGCCTCCTGGCCTTGCCTCATTAATATGCTCTCTCCTCATTGCTGTGACTTGGTTCAATTAGGGATGGTTTTTCCATACATTTGTATTCCTTAGAAACTTTGCTAGCTGATAAGAAGACTTCCTTCATAGTTGTATAGCAATAATAAACAGCTCATGTTTTTCTATCCATTGTGACCAGTGCTTGACTTTATCATTCCCTCTAGATGTGTGCAAGCTAAACACCATAAACTTCTAATAATCTGCTGCTTTTCCCCTATATACTTTCCCCATGAGAGTTCTTGTGTTATGGAGAAATTTGCCAGCCAGGGAAATTTGTTGGGTGTTTTGTGTCTTCGTTTTGCCTTCTGGCAAAAACACCTCTTAGATGTTTGTATTTAAGGTGTGTTTTAAATTGATAACAGTGGTGCTGCAGCTTCTAGGAGAAGCTGTGCATTCCCTAGTGCCTCTGGATGTGCCACAACATAAAGCAGAATAGGCAGGACACTCCTGCACTACCATCTCTGTGGAAGAGTATGGGAGGCATAAATTCAGGGAAGTGACTCAGGTAAAAAACTTCATCTTGATTTGCTTGAGCCGGGGGTCTAGAAACAAGGTTTCTATAGGGTGTCTCTTTCAGCCAGAGAGGAGGTTTCCATTGCAAAAATGTAATTTAAAAGGAGTTGAAGGTAATTCTTTGAGCAAAATCTTTCCTGATGGTGAAGGACTTGTTTGGAGTATCTGCAGCGGTGTCCTGGAACTTGAGCAATAAGCAAGTTTGTTTATATGATTTTTGGGATACAGTGTGGCCTTTGAGGAACATCAGAGGTAAAGCTCTTTTGGTGAAATGTACTGGGGAAGCTGACTGATTCACTGAGTGTACACGAGTGACCTGTGTCCTGCAGGAGTGTTTCTATTTCCAAACATGTATAGACATCTACTCTTATCTGAAGCTGATTCTAAGATCCTTGAATAGGGACACCAGTTCCTTTGACCATTGACACAGTTCCTAGAATGGTGGTGCCTACAACCACACTGGGACCTTTGGGTGCCACTACAGTCATGCCATTGTTTGGATAGAAATGCATTAAATCCAACAGACATCTTCTCTAGCAAGCATTTCCAGAGACTTCAGTTGAACTACTTTATGAGAGTATTTAAATACAACCATTTAAGCCCAGAATGTTGCACCAAGCTCTAAAACGGAATGGTTTTATTAATCAAATATTGTAGAGTAGTTGTTGAATGAGCCTCCAAGCAGTGTTTGCAGGTCATATTTCTCAGCCTTTAGCCTTTCTTTCTTTTGAGCTCTTCTCTTCTGCTGGAAGTGTGTCTTACTTAAATACTTTATGTAATGATTTGGGAATTAATTTGTTAAAGTGAGCAAGTGTATTCTCAGACTAGAAGAAACCTATGCAAATGTGTTAGACAGGTAGCCTGCTATGTGGACAAGCTGAAGTATAGGCTAGAAGAATCCTTCCCACAGTGTTTGTAAGGTAACCATGAAGAGTCAAAAGGTGTGTGGCTGATATCAGGCCCTAGATGTATGTGGATGCAGGATAACTTTACTGTGATTACAGTGACTGGCCTTGGAGAGGAATTCTTCACTGCTATCTCTGCATCTCCTCCTGGGCAGCGTTTAGGGACTGCAGGCAGGACAGATGGGA